TCTCTCTCTCTCTCTCTCTCTCTCTCTCTCTCTCTCTCTCTCTCTCTCTCTCTCTCTCTCTCTCTCCCTCTCTCTCTCTCTCTCTCTCTCTCTCTCTCTCTCAAACATTAAATATGACATCACGATTCGTCGTAACGACCGTATCGTAATAATCCTTGACTAAAACGATTGACTCGAAAGGAAGAAAAAAAAAGGAGTCGAATGCTTCGAAAAGTCCTCATTATGAAATAGGTTTATAATATGAGACAGCTGGTTTTTCAACACCCCAAACTCAATCACAAATCTTTTTTCGCAACGATTACAAAATTTGACGATAAATTTTCCACTAAACAGATTTCGCGCCAAGGGCAATAAATTCATGGCGGAATCAACTGATAAGAAACACCGCTATCCCATATTAGGAGACTTTCCTCTAGTATTTTCAAACTATCTTCAACCACTTTCATTCGCTGATTCTTCTGATCACTTTAGTTTGTCTAAAGCTCGTCTCGAGGTCATTATTTCGTATGTTCTTTTGTACTGGCCAAATCTCACATTAAAATAGATTCGTGAGATAAATCGAAAATATTGTTACTTTTGTTCCAGTCTCAATATGAGAAAGCATATTTTCCTGGATTTTATGAGGACATATTTCCCAACCGAAACTGCAGCAGCAGATTGCGTTGTATTTATACATTTTCTTTGTTTCTATTTTTACCACGGTAAAGTGGGCATATGCGGTGCTGTCGTTCCTAATACAAAGCGAGTGTGTCCTTTTCTTCGCCACGTCTTCGAGATTAGTCAGGGAAACGGAGTTTCCTTTATTCGCCAGGCAAGAAGTAAGAGTGCTGCTGAATCCGCACGACATCAGCATTCCCATCAATAGGGAAAAGTAGATTATTAATCGGAGGGACGAGCTTCTCGGTATTTTATGAAACCCTGAATAAAAAATATATTTCAAATAGCGAATTCGATTGCTTGCACTAGTGCGCACTGATTGTGAGTGCACACTAAGGTCTGACTATTGTCAATTTTTATATTTAACTTTGTCTTAAATACACGTTTAAACAGTACCTACTTAGCCAAAAAATGATTCGCATGGATGCTGTACGGATTAGTTTAATGACAACGAAATATTTTAAGAGATATTTGAGACGATCCTTAAGGTAGTTGTTTCGCGACAGTAATGCTCAAAAGTTTCTTTCAGACAGAAACCAGCACTCAATTATTACAATGATGTATCTTGATGCGATATTGTTCTAAAGAATACACTTACGATTAATACATAATGTAAAATAGATTCGAAAGATTATAGTTTGAGGCGCTCTTATCATACATTACACTCATGTCTACTATGTCACCTTAAAAAAAAAATCTTTTTTAAAAAGATAAAAAAGATGCCAAGTAAATCATAAAATGATATCATTACTTTTGTAGAGAAGATAAAAATGTTTTTTTTTCGAATAAATATATCTAAGTAAATTATATAATTCTTGATTGGATTGACGCTTATACTTGGCATCTGTTTTACTTTTTTTTAAGGTTAAATAAAGACCGCAAGTAAATGTTAAATAATTTATTTGTAGATAAGTAATATTTCGTGTAACATAGCAAATTTAACATATTTTTTAAAACTTTGAGACGGTCAATTCTTATTTTGCACGTATTAATGTAAAAGTTAATTAAAGTAAAGTAAAAGTAAAATTAAAGTAAAAGACTAAACTGTAAAAATTGGAAACAATTCTTACACAAATGACTTAACGAAATAACTACCTTAAATATAAGAATTGACTGTAAACAAGCCTTAGTGTGCACTCAGTGCGTACTAGTGCAAACAACTGAATTCGCTAAAACTTTCTTCCCCGCCGAGGACTCTGTCTGCGTACACAATGCGAGACAAAGTATTCGCGCGGATGAAATAAAAAATTGCAAGAATATCGTAAAAATCAGTCTCGAGCAAAGAAAAGTCATTGCGTATCTTGAACGTTATCTTATCTTTCTTATCTTATCCATTCACACTTCATGCGTTACCTTGACCGCCCAAAACGTGAAGAAGGTTGAAAGACAGCGAGGAAAGCTCGTCGTCGCATTCCTCGTAGTTAACATGCACGAGCTTCTTTATGCGATATATCCCCACGATGCTGCATGCGATACACACGACGGACGTGAAAAATGCCAGCCATAAGCCGCGGCTGAAGATATTAACGTACCACCACTTTGTGTCAATCGCGCCTTCCGATCGAACGAACAGAGCGTATCTGAAGGTGGAAAATAAGTTTTGCCGTGGCATCGCGGCTGAAAGCGACTCGCTCGATCGTCGCCGCGTTCGATTAGAAATTTTGGAAAGCGTAGTTCCCGAAAATTCCCCGAAGGCAGACATGCAAATGGAATTTTGTTTTCTTCATCGCGCGTCGTGTTTTATCTCGCTAATTGCAATTGTATATACATCGCTCGCCGCGTGCGCGATAAACAAGCTTCCTGCCAATAACGATCGATCGGAATTATACTTATCTTCGTTCTCCCCTTCCTCTTTTCTCCCCCGCGGAACAACCGGCACGGCGGAGAAATTGCGAGAGCGAAATCAGAAAGTTATTAAGCCGAGATACAATCGCGGGAACGTGTATCCCGATAGGCCGGTGCCTAACCGGAACGGGTTAACGACCGGCGTTAAAACCACACCAGCCGAAAGAAAAGCTTTCATCGAGCGCGCTCGCGCTCGCGGGGGTGGAGGGCGAAAGCTCGCGATAAGGAGGCCGCGCGTCGCCTCACGCGCCCCTGGAGGAGTCGCCGCGTTAAAAAAGGGGGGGGGGGAAGGGCGCGGGAAGGGGGTGCTAAAGTAATAACGAGTTCGACTTACGAGTTGGTGGTGAACGGCACGCTGTAGGCGTAGTAGCTCGTGGCGTACATATACATCGCCGTGGGGATCAGCAGTGCGTGAGTATCTCCATTCATCAGGGTCGCGATGCTCGAGCGTTCCGCTCTTCGGTAAATTGTCCTGCATTTTCGTCGAAAGGACGCCTTTATTACGGTGCCGCGCAACTCGCACGTTCAACACAACCCCGGTCCCCCTCGCCACGTCGCCGCCGCCGCCGCCGCCACCGCCGTCGCCGTCGCCGTCGCCGCCGCCGCTGCCGCCGTCGCCGCGAATCCCTTGTCCCTCTCCCTACCCACATTGCCCATCTACCCATCCTGATACTATACTTATACCTGTCTAGACGAATGAATCATGCGAGTATTTTGACCCACACCGACGGCCTGGGTGTGGGTGGTACGCGGAAAATTGGGCAGGTTCTACGTACGGCTTCGTCACACATACCCCTTTGAAGAAGCATCGTCATGAAAATCGTTCGTGCAAATTCGCCGTCGAGGCGGTATCGCGGCCGCTCCGGCGGTATCGCCGTGCGGGCGAGCTGGCGAGAGGGAGGAAGTATGGTAGCACGCTGGCATTTATAGATAATTTTGCGCGAGGAGCCCCGCATCGATACGTGTGTATCTGACTCTCAATGACTATTGGGAATCTATATTTATACAGGAACCTCGCCGAAATGTACCTTGCAAATTCGCTGCCAAGGTTACTCACATCGCCCGCGAGTCATGCTACATAACAGAACGGGGAGATCTGTCTCTCCCAGCTGGCAACGCGTGTGTACCAAGAAATATTGAAAACAAAGCTGAAAGCTTTAGAAAGGAACTCATGGGGGAGAAATATATATCATTCGAAACAATAAAATTCATAAGGCTCTGCGTGTAATCGAGAGCTCAAATGATATTATATATACGAAGGAATAAAGGAGAGAAGAGCCAAGACAGTGTCTAAATGATTTTAAATTTATTGCGAAAAATTTATCAGCCAGGGTTTGAGCCTGGACTAGCTCCCTGTAGGCGGGCGACTCACCAATTCGACCATCGAGGCATGTGCGGAAGGTCCTCAACTCTGGTTGAGTTTATTAAAATAAAATTAAAAGTGAACATCCTGTTTTGGCTCTTATATCCTTTATTCCTTCGAACATATTTGAGCTTCTAAAGCTAGCGCCACGCTATGCGCGATTCATGATTCGTATATTCGTGACTATTGTGGAGGAAAAATTCGTCAACTCGCCGTTCGCAGTGATTCGCTAGTCGAGTGGATGTTTTGACTAATATTGAAACTTGACTAATTGTAGACTTATGACACAAGTCCTGCGATAACAGGAAAAGTTAAAAGTTGTCCAAGTTAACACGAACGAAACGACAAATAACAAATTACGAACGATAAACCGCGAATCGCGCATTACGAATTGCGCATAGTGCACTGACAAAAAATGTGTTTAAACTGAGTAAATAGATTTACTTGAAATTATTATTTTACTGAAGTAAATATTTATTCTATTTAAACAAAAATATTAAATCTCAAGTAAATCTATGTATTATATTAAGTAAATGAATTAAAATCATTACATTTTCTACATTCAAATATAGATTTTATGAGAATACTATTTATTATTATAAATAAAATAATTGTTTTTGTTAAAGAAGAAATCCGACTTTCTTCCTTGTGAAAATTACACACATTTTAGTAAACATTTTATAGAATAAAAATAAAAGTTTTTTTAATTAAAAATGATCTATTCTTTGATATTTAATAAATACTTAAATTAAAGCAATGCATGTTTTAATTTGTTTATAATTTTTTAAATTTAAGTTAATAAGCTATTAGGAGCCACCTAATGAATAATTTTCTTGAGTAAAGTAATATTTTTTTGGATTAAGATATTTTTTATCAGTGTGTAGCGCTAGCTTAAGGGAGAATCTGAATACTTGACACAACGCTAATTTCTTCGTCGATGCATTTTGGTACGCAGTAAATACTGACTTGAACTTTAAAGCTTCTTCTAAGATTGTCCAAGTGTCTCCGATGATCCCCGTGACCCCATTTTTGTTTACGTTTATGACGACATATGGATGCATCTGAAAGGGTCTTATGGGTAACATTGTCATCGCTGACGTGTGCGAAGTCAACCCCGCACTTTCCTGTACTTTTAATAATTGCGTCATCGCCGACGCGGTTTCGCACTCGGTAGTCGAGCAATTAGTCCGATTTTGGTGAGAAAATCGCGCTAAAAGAGAACAGTACTCACGAAATCCGTGGCGACGACGAGGGTTTTTCCGCGCAAATCGTTCATCGCGTTAACGCTGCAGAAAGCGGTGTTGTTCGATGTTAGCGCCTCGAGCCGCTCGAATCCCCTCGTGATCGGGTTCCAAAGCGAAACGTGTCCCGGTCTTCTCCGTATTATCTCGATTTCCGGCCAGTTTTGTAGAAGTTTGATGCACACCTCCGCCGCGACACATGGAAGTATCATCTGTAACGGTCAATCTGGTCACGACTGGGGTGGATGGCGGGATCGGATAATGGCATTCGAGAACAAAAAATTATTTGAATCGAAACTTCGGATAAGAACGAAATGTCCATCCACCGCACCGATAGTAAGAGATACTTCATCGTGGTGACTCCGGTACTTTTCTGGCGAACGCTTCCAGTTCTACTGCGCGAATAAGATGGAAATTATTCACGTGAATTCGCCTTTCATCGCGTGAATGTAGAATAATAATTGACAAGTTTGACGTGAGAAGTGAAGAGCTTTTGTTGCGACTGTGCTACGTAAATTATCGATACGCAAGCGTGAAGAAAAATCAATGTGCCAGGTGTACGCACAAAGAGTTATGCTTTTCCTTAGATTTATTGCGATGCTTGTTACAATACTATAATATTATTTGATGATCCCTTGATATTGTGATCTTTGCGATGAATCGTCATAAGATGTTCGAATTATTTCTGGAAAATTATGCACGCACAAATGGAAATTCCCAGTAACTTAATTTCGAAGAAAGATTAAGAACTATTAAGCCTCTTTCCTGCGTTATTGCCGACACGATAAGATTGCAGATAATATGAATTTTATTCAATTGAACAAATAAATTCAATTATTTACTAGCACGACAATAAATGTTGTGATTTATATTTATTATGTAAATACCATACGTCTCCCTTTTCATCAACAAGGGGAGAGAGAGCGATTATAAACTAACGCCGCGACTGAGGAAGACTTCAATGCATGGCGAACGCTGTAACGCAAATTATAAGTTGCATCAAATAACACGAATGACATCCTTCTTTTTATATTGTTGTTGTTGCACATCGGATGTTTTGAATCTACACTGAAAAAAATTAATGTACTTTTACATGGAAATTACTTGTTCAAATCCGGAAAATTGCCTAATTATAACTGTAATTTTTTTTCCAGATTTCTTAAAGTGAAAATACATATTAATGGTAAAATATAGGTGAAATATAGGTGAAATTACTATTTTTGTGTAAAAACACTTGAATTTTCATGCAAAATTACAGAAAAAAAGTCTGCAATTTTCCATGTGGGTAGTAATATTGCATGATTATGCTGGGTCGGAAAAAAACCCAGCATAATCATGTAATTTTACAAATATTTTTTTCAGTGTAGTAAATGTACTTTTAATCCCGATTTGCCCGGTAAATAGAAGGCCAATTTTTCCTCATTGAATATTTTTTGAAAGATCCTTATTTGTCGCGAATGATCAATTTCTAATATGAAAAATATAATTGAGCCTCAATCAATTAGTTGTAACTTTACTGTATTGTTCACTGTAGTTTTGCTTTTCACTGCAAACTCATATTGAGAAGTAAGAATGTCTTACGTAACTGCTAAACGTATTGAATCACACTGTTCATAAATAACCTTGTTTACACAATAATTAAGATATCTTGCGGTTTTATTAGTAATTTCATATGCGAGATGGAAAAAGTTCTTTTGCATGAGTTGGTAAGACGACGTTTTTGTAAGTGAATAATCGCGTAGAATTCTTACGCGTACTTGTTGACCGTAGTACATCTGAAGATTATTAATTGATATAATATATATATATGTTCTTAACTTGTTTTTAACTCTCTCTCGTCAACATTGTGATATATCTAGAAATTGCTTACTAATCAAACAGGGCAGCCAGTTTCCGTTTTGATTGATCAGAGTATTAATATTATCTTAACATTTCCTGGTCTTAATATTATCAACTCTCTGTTTTTGTATTAAATACAATATAATATATATATATGTTCTTAACTTGTTTTTAACTCTCTCTCGTCAACATTGTGATATATCAAGAATTTCTTGCTAATCAAGCACGGCAGCCAATTTCCGTTTTGATTGATCGGAATATTAATATTATCTTAACATTTCCTGGTCTTAATATTGTCAACTCTATTTTTTTATTAAATACAAATTGTCTTGTTTTTTTTTATTCACGTCACGTTACGGTAAAATATTTCTAACTCGGAATGCGATTCTATTATTTTTCACTGTCTTCTTTCCTACGTATACGTTTAGCTTTTACGGAAAGGGAATGTGTATTAGTTTACCCTGTTCGTTCGAAAATGTAACGAGCTGAAGAAGGAGAGGACACGCGGATGATATCGATAACGGCGATCTGACGGATGGAGTCTTGTCAAAAAGGAGGATCGCGCGATCGCAAAGATCAAAGCGAGATATCTTCGCCGAAGCTATAAGCAATTCCGCTCGCGATCTCCGCGAGGATGCAAATTATTATAATTGATTCCAGAGAAGAAATGATGGGAAAAGAAGTGGGAGAGGTATGGAGATTGGTGTGTGATCAGGCGCCTATAAAATTTTATTGAACGACATAATGCACCTTTAGTAGTGCAGTTACAATATAGGGGGCGATCCGTCGCTCAACTTTAAGCGGATATGATGAAAGAGTCCGTCGCCGATCAAGGTACTTATTACTTCACTGCGATCAATGTGTTACCAGACAGCCACAAACATCGTGGAGATTTCGATGAGCCGAGTGTTCTTCGCTTTTCATCCTGCGGCGGTCGCGTAAGCGAACAGATCTCACGGATGTCGGTTTTAAGTGAGATAAATCATTTTACCGTTCGTTGCAAGGTGCACCCTGAACCCTCTTGGTTCTCTCACTCTCTCTTTCTTCCCCCCCCCCTCTCTTTCTCTATTCCCGATCGTTCGATTGTTCAGACAAACGTTCATCAAATACGTCATCGTCGGCAGCAAACTTGCACCCTCCGACATGTTTTAGAATGTGCATTAAGGGAATGCTGGAGTGATTCTGCACTTTTTGCACCTTTCGCTCCTAGAATTGTCAATTCATGAAAACATTTGTGTAATATACAAATTATGTGGCTTTTGCGTACAGACCGACAGTGTTCCACTATTCGGACTAAATGAGAAAACAGCACGGCATTGTTGAAATTAAGTTTAAAAGTCTAGCGCAAAATATCTATTCGCTCGAATAAGTTATAGGTTAGGTAACTTACAAGATAATTCGAGCGAATAAATTTTGTTACGCTTCTAAACTTAATTTCAACGAAAACCACGCTGTTCTCTGATCTAGTCCGATTAGTGGAACACTGTCGGTCTGTACATAAAAGCCACACAACTTGTATATTACACAAATGTTTTCATGAATTGGCAGTTCTCGGTGTAAAAAGTGCAAAAGGTGCAGGATCACTCCGGCATCCCCTTAACCGCTCTTCGAAAGCAGAATGAGGAGTCCCTCGGGAGTTGTTCCTGGAGGAAAGGGAGCCTGTTCACTTTATCGTCGAGATGCTCGAAATATGTCTCGGTCCCCCGTGTTTGTAATGTAAAAATCCATCTTATCCAATAGCGCGATTTGTAGCGACACGAAACGACTCCGTGCCCCCGATGCAATCGGCCGCTCTTATCCGATATCTCGCCGGTTTCGCTCGGCGGAGATGTATGCGGAATGCGAAAGGATCGAGAGAGCGTTTAGAATACATGATGGTGCATCTTCGACTTGCGCGCGTTTGAATAACTTTTGAATAACTTTTGAGGCCCCATTTGGATTTTAAATGCCGTGGACCACACGGGCACGGGCCCCGGGTCTCGCGCGGCTATCTCGCATTCGCCGGGCCCGATCTTCTCTCGGTTGCCCCCACCTTTCCCCGCCGACGCTATCGTGCATCGACAACGTGGACCCTCGAATCGATTGGCGTGCTCCCGCGTCTTGTGCCCTCGATTTCAGAATAGGCATATAAAGATTGCGATCAAGTGATTCGCACGGTCAAGATCCGTGCACAAATTGCACATATCGGCGCGACGTGTGCAACCGACAGCGAATTTAAAAGTTCTATAGCATGAAAGGGGGAGAAAGAGAGGGAGAGAGAGAGGGAGGGGGAGAGAGAGAGAGTGAGAGGGGGGTAAGAGCGATGCATACCAAGAGATATTTTTCGCCGTTCGGTCGCGCACGTGGCGAAAAAGAAAAAAAGGAACGAAACAAAATTTCGCAGCCGGGCGAGAACTTACGTTACGTACGACTGCTATCGTAAAATGTTGAGATTACTAATATTTTTCAGACTTTCGAGAAGGTTCGCAAACACAGACATACCGCCTAACACTTGATTTTCTATTACGTTGTTCACGCTACAAACTTACGTGTAAAGATAACAAGGAGTTTTTTAACTTTTCGAAATCATCTAATACAGTTATAATAGAACTTTCTTCTCTAAAAATGAGATTTTGCTTTCAAGATCGAATCAATCTTTATTTCTGACAAGACGCGCTATTCGATTACGATTATTTTAACAATTTTAACAACTGGCCTTCTCTCTAATTAAGATCCGTCTTGCAATGAGCTCGAGGGCTCAGTTCTCGTTAGTACTCGAGATGAACGCACCTTGGACTCGTTGTCAGCACAATACTGCGGTCTTGCTTGCCTGAATAAAGCTTGACCAAGAAGACAGTGTTCTTCTCAATACTTTAGAATATTACATTGTGTTTCTCACATAACAGAGCGCGATCGTTTCTCGACGTGGTACGAACAATACATAAAACATTTCTATGCGGCCAGCGATTGACGGGGAACGCACTTTCGCATTTTTTTTTCACTTTCATGCTCCTTGTTTTTTCGATTTGACGAGGACTTTGGACGCGTTGAAGAGGGAATGATGTAGCGGTTTCCCCAACGGCACTTGATCATGTTCCAATATACTAAGAATATGGTATATTTAATGTTCTAAAAATATTTCTATACACCATACATTTGCAATATCTCCCGACACATTCTCAGAATACACTTGTGCCGTTGGGGTTGTATTTTAACAACGGCAGTTGAATAATAACAATACAATAGATATTACATTACTTTTAGCAACATGTCATAATACAGGTATTAATTAAGTTGATTAGTTTCGTCTTGTCCTTCTAATAATATGAAATATTCAGTCTCTGAAATGTACTCCGATGACTTTTAAAATTTTCAATTTTCTCGCCTCTCAAGCCGCTGGATGTAATCCTTCAAATCTAGTTGGAAATTTTACTTTTGGATTATCCACCCGAACCTTGTTTTCAACTTCCTGCAATTCGTTATTTTAGCATTAAATTTCGACGTAAAGACTCCTATATAAATGACACACCGCAAAAACATTATTACATCGTAGCTGTACTCTCTAAAAGTCAATCAGTGAATATTCACTGCTTTCAGTGATATCTTTTAGAGAGTAGGGTTTTCTTATGTATACTAAACGTTAATATTTGAAATTTTATGACACACTGAGGATGACCTGAATACAGGTCGAAACGCATGTATTATTTTTATAAATCGAAGTTTTTAACACGTACATCAATGTCTCGTTCGTTGGCCCCTTTGAACGGCATTGATTTTATATTATCAAACCAACAAATAATTAGTTTTAATTAAGTTAATACAGATATTGTTTAGCAACTGAATATTAGCTGTAATTCTCTCTAAATTTCGTTGTGTTTACAAAACCGTCTTTGAATTGTCGTTAGTTCCCGCGATGTCTATTTCTATCGGGAGGGAGAATTTGCCCTCGACGTGCATACGCCTCCGCCTGTAGCCAAATTCTTTGTCTAAAACACCCACTTATTGGTCGCCGCTACTGACCGAGGCTCCTCTTTTCCGAGAACGTTCCGCGAAACGAACGCGATCTTCTCGGGAAAGAGCAGAGCCTCTCGAGCGACAGGTGCCAGTAGACCTCTGTTTTCCGTGATTTATTAAAGCTTACTCTACAATGGACGCTAAGCCGCAATGCAAGGAATCGACCAATCAACTATGAGAAGAATGATCGACCGTCATTGGACGATTTCTTGCGTTGCGGCTTAGGGCCAGTTTCACAAACGTCGCTTAACCGAAGGTTAATTGATTCTCTGTCTCTTCCTAGATAACAAAAGAGAAAAGGATAGGAAGTTAACTGAACTCTGGTTAACAGTTAACCGACGTTTGTGAAACTGGCCCTTAGCGTCTTGCGTTTTGCGCCCATTGTAGAATAAGCTTAAGTGCTGTTTGCGCCGACGAGTCGCGTCTAAGGCCCGGTTTCACCAAACGTCGCTTAACTTTAATCTTAGTTTAATTCGTGTTTGCCTCTTTCTAAAGTAACAGTTGAAAAGGGACAATGAACGAATTAAACCAAGCTTAGAGTTACGCGACGTTGGCGAAACCGGGCCTAAATTAAGTACAGTTCCGCTTTCCGCGACACTTTCGTTCGCTGCAAGGCGATTATCTGCACCGCCGGTGGGGGGATCGCGTCGGGGTCCCTTCACGGTCCCTTCACGGTCGGAATTCAATCGGGAAAATTGCCACGGCGATACGGCAACAGAGATTAATTTGCAAATTTTATTCGCGACGTTCCTCCTTCTTGAGGGGCAATTGGAGGAGGCATCGATGAGTTTCGAACGATTCCTTTTTCTTGAACGGTACCGCGAGCTCCTTCAGCCCCGCGCTAAATCGGGGAACGTTAAACAGGCGTCACATGATCGCGATATTTCCCATTGTGGCGATTTAACCCGTTGACACCAGCACCGCCGCCGCCGCTACACATCGACGCAGAAGCGATCGACGGTAGCCGGGCGACTGCCTGGTGCCCGGACCCTTTCGACTGTTGTAAAGCCGGTTGACTTTGACGGACCCGTCGCGCCGGCCGGCGATTTGCAAACCGGCGCGTAGAGGAGAACGAAGCTAAGCGTCGCTCTCTACAACTGCGAGGGAATCGCGGAGGCGAGCGACCAGGGGGAGAGGAAGAGTTCGTATATGAGAAACGGTGGGGTATGGCGGGTCGCGCCGGGTGCGAC